GGCCCATCTTGAAGGAGCTTACTTTCTAAAGAAGAAGACCATCCACACAATGGGACCTGTGCGGGGTTGGCATAGGAGTGGCCAAGACAGCACGGATTGGAAATGCTCACCCCGGGCTTGGAGCCTGGCCCAGGACCAGGCAGGGACCCAGGGACTGAAGCCAAGGCTCCCGTGGAAGAAAGTGCAAGGATTGTGTCTAGAAAGAAATGTTTGTGGATTGGTCTGTAAAATGGGAGTAATAACAACGCCTTTCTCCCAGGGCTGTTGTGAGGATCCAAAGAGGTTGGTTGGTTGTTGACCTTCATACTCAAAGAGGACTAAAATGGCATTGCTATGTTGGAGTCAAGGTACAGTGTGTCCCACTGTGGCTCAGCAGACCAATACAAGCTCGGCACTCTCTGCCACAGGTAGGGCACAAATAGGCCACGTGAACATTTAGGGTGGTTCTCTAAATTTGTGTATCTTGCGTTTCTTTTGAGCTTTTTCATTTCTGCTTTACCGATAGAGCACAGCACCTTCTCTGATGAGGTTATGCCATGCTGGGTAGTCCTATGCCAGAGTCTCCCAGATCACACAACCAATCCCAAAGTTCTTCAAAGAGACCTGGAGAGTGTCCTTGTATCACTTCTTTTGATCACCATGTGAACGATACCCTGTGTGAGTTCTCCATAAAATAGTCTTTTAGGCAAGTGAACATTTTGCATTTGAATAATATGACCAGCCCATCAGAATTGTGCTCTCTGCAGCAGAGTTTGAATGCTTGGCACTTCAGCTCGAGAAAGGACCTCAGTGTCTGGTAACTCATCCTGCCAGGTGATCTTCAGAATCTTCCTAAGACAATTCAAATGGAAGCGATTCAGTTTCCTGGTATGGCGCTGGTTGGCTGTCCAGGTTTCACAGGCATACAACAAAGGGGTCAGCACAATAGCTCCGTAGACCTTCAGTTTGGTAGTCAGTCTAATACCCACAGTTTCCTTTGGAGCCTCAAATGGGAAATCCTCCATTTGGTTTTAAAAGCTGCCCATAACTTGGCCCCCTTCTTCCCTTTCCAGCTTCCTCCTCCTCCTCCTCCTCCTCTTTCCGTATATTCTATGACCCAGTGAGTCTGGCCTCCGAGTTGTTCCTCAAACAAGACACTTCACATCCCAGGCATTCTCTCTGACTCCTCTCCACCATGCAATGTGGGCGTCAACCTTATTTTCCATGTGTACATCCCTGGAAAGTATACTGCCAAAGTAAATGACCTTATCCACAGTATTCAAAACTTCTCCATTCGCTGTAACCGATGGTTCCACATACGGATGCTGTGGTGGTGGCTGATGGAGTATCTGGGTTTTCTTGGTGTTAATTGTTAGGCCAAAATGAACACAAGCAGCAAAGAACAGAGCCATGCTCTGCTGCATCTGAGCCTCAGAGGCTATAAAATGCCTTGCAAACCTTTTAAGTGCTTGGTTTTTGTTTCTATGTCCCAGCCCTTAGCATAGAACTGGCACATTGTCAGTGCTTAAGCATTAACTAAGCAACGACTACGTGTCAAAAAAAAAAAAAGATAATCCTTGCCCTCTAGGGGCTTACAGTCTAAGGAGGAGAAAACACACAAACAAACCATATGCCGGTTATATTGGAGCCAAAAAGCATCGCGAAGGCACTGGCATTAAGGTTTCTTGTAGAAGAGGTTTAGCTAGGACTTGAAGGAAGCCAGAGCAAGCAGGAGGCAGAGACAAGGAGAGAGGGAATTCCAGGCATGGTGGAGAGGAGTCAGAGAGAATGCCTGGGATGTGAAGTGTCTTGTTTGAGGAACAACTCGGAGGCCAGACTCACTGGGTCATAGAATCTACGGGAGGAGGAGGAGGAAGACTAGAAAGGGAAGAAGGGGGCCAAGTTACAGGCAGCTTTCAAAACCAGATGGAGGATTTCCTATTTGATCCTGGAGGAGCCAGGGAGTCACTGCGGTTTATTGAATGGGGCGTGACAGGATCAGACCTGGGCTTTAGAAGAATCAGTTTGGTGGCAGAGTGGAGGACAGGATTGAGTGGGGAGAGACTCTTGGCAGGGAGAGCAAGTAGGAGCCCGAGGCAACAGTCTAGGCGGGAGGTGATGAGGACCTGGCCCAGGGCCGCAGCAATGTTAAATGCATTTTCATCCATCCATCCATTCAAATGTGAGCTAAATCAATTCATATGGCACTGCCAAATCCACCAGAAATAGATAGGATCTTATCAATGGAAATGGCAGGAAAGAGGCTACATTAACACCTGCTTTTCTTTGCACCTTCTATTTTGCAGACGAAATCCTTAAAATGTCTTGTCTTCTCCACTAGAATGTGAGCTCCTGGATAGCAGGGACAGTCTCATTTTTATAGATCCAGTGCTTTGGACATTGTTGGTACTGAAAAATTCTTTTTCATTCTTATATTTCAGCAAGCATTTATTAAGTATCTTTTATGTGCCAGACACAGGGCTGGATGCTAAGGACCAAAGACAGAAATGAAATTGTCCCTGCCCTCAGGGAGCTTACATTCTAATGAGGGATGTATGTACACAACTAATGCATAAATATATTTCTCTATATTCTATAATTATGTGTGCATATTTGTGCATACATATGTAAACATATAACATATATTCATATATGCATATAAAATGTATATGGTATAAGTATAACTGCTTGATAGAGAATAATTGGGGAGGTATCATGAGCCCAGCCTTGAAAGGAGCAGATGTGACGAGAAAAACCATTCCAGCATGGAGAGAGGAGATGCAATATCTTGTATTGGGAACAATGAGCAGAGTCTAGGAAGTGGGTAACGTGAAACCAAGAGTGGGAAGTGAGGTTGGAGCCGGATTGAAGGGTCTTCGATGCCAAGCAGAGGAACTTGGATCTTATCGTAGAGGCGGTAGGCAGTCTTCGAAATGTCTTGATCAGGGGCGTTACGTGATCAGACTTGTGTCTGAAGAAAATCGATCTGGCAGCTCCCGTGTAGAGCCTAGATTGGAAAGGGGAAAGGCTAGAGGCAGGGAGCCCAATGAAGAGGCTATAGTAATGGTCCAGGTGGAAGGCAGTGAGGCAATGGTGATGATGTATTCAAGTGGAAGGAAGGAGATGGATGTGAGAGATGGTGTGGAGGTGGAAATGGCAAGTGACTGATTGACTGTAGCGGGTGAGGGACGGGAGAAACAAGAATGGCTCTTAGGTTTCGAACTTCGGTGATCGGAAGGATGGTATTAGTCAGAGGGGAGGGTTGAGGGACATAGACTTTGGGGGAAAGATAGTGATTTCTGTTTTGGACATAATGACTTTGAGATCATCCAGATCAAGATGTCCAGTAGGCAGGTGGTGACATGAGACTGGAGCTCAGAAGAAAGGCTCGGGCTGGATATAGAAATGTGAAATCACCTATATAGAGATAAGAATGAAATCCAGCTGAGGTTTATGAGGGCAAATAGACAGAAAGGAAGGGGGCCCAGGGCTACATCTGCACGTGGAATGCACGTGAAAGGATGCTAACATGCTTTAGCTTGCACTATTGTGAAAAACTGTGTTTTCCTCTCTGGTGCCAGAGAGAATTGTGTCTGGGACGCAGAACCATGGACAAGGCCTCAGAAGAGGTCGATTCTTTCCCAGTTGCATCACCGTGGAAGGCCAAGTCTATTCAATTATCTACAGGAAAGTCACAAGCCATACACCAGCTTAGGGAGCCCTCTGTCACTCACAAAGCATTTGGAACCTTTAAATTCAACTCTCTCCCCTATCATTAGGGGGAAGGAAATTCAGAATTTGGAGAAACTGAAGTCAACATGAAATTCATTCATCAAATACAGTGTAGGGAACCTCAAGATCCTTCTGAGAAGAGACTCCATCCCATTACCCTCTTACTACCAACCAAGTGATTCCTCCTTAGGAGAAAAATGGGTTGGATATATACCAAAGTAATCATATTTTTGAAATATATTTGCTATTTTTGAAATGGCAAGAAAGTGGAAGTAAGCCAGATGCTAAACAACCTGGGAATGGCTGAAAAGATAGGAGAGTGTGAATATCCTGGAATATATTCACCCTCTGAGAAAGGACAAATGCCAAGAATTCAGAGAAATATGGGAAGATTTATATGAACCGATGCAGAGGGAAGAACATAGAACCAGGAAAACATTATACAGGACGACAATAATGGAAATGCACCACCAAAAGGTGGCTGAATTCAGTTTAAATGTCATGAACAATATTAGCTCCGGAGGACAGAGGAGGAACCATTCTTTTTTCTCCTCTTTAGAGAAGATGAGGGTTGGGTGATAGGTTGGGATGGACAGGTGCAGAGCACAGCAAACAGGGACAAATGCTGTTGGCTGTTCTTCTTTTTCCCAAAGGAGGGTTGTCTGGTGGGGAGAGGACAAGAAAGGATCATAACAGAGATATAGACCTAGAAGGGAACGTGTTCATCCAATAAGCGTTTATTGAGTTCCTACTATGTGCCAGGCATTGAGCTAGGTGGCAGGAGAGACAAAAATAACAATCAAATAGTTCCTGCCCTCAAGGAGTTTACATTCCACCCTAGAGGTGATCTAGTTCAACCCTTTCCCCCTCATTTTATAGAGGAAGGAAACTGAGGCCCACAGAGATTCAAGGACTTACGTAAGGTCATACAGGTAAGATAGAAGAGCCAGGATTTGGATGGCCATCAAAATCCAGCCCTCTTTGTACCATACCACAGTCTAGCAGAAAATGATGGAGACATTAAAAAAATAAGGACATTGACAAAACTTCCAAAATCAAGAACCCCTGGACCATTCTGTCCTTTCTAAAGAAACATGTAGGTTGAATAAATAAAGACAGCTGTCCAGATATTCATGGGATGTTTTTTACATTTTCCAAACTATTGAGGACAAGTACATTACAATGATGGACTCCCTTCATTTAGTTACATAAATAAAATTTTTATAAATATCTCTTTATAAACAATATAAATAGCTTTACAACATAAATACATTTATGCATGACATGAATTTACAAACAGCGAGGTTCGATATATCGCTGGCCTCGTCAGGCTCGGAAAAACGGTTTCTTGTCTTCGTGTCTCCATAAAGTGGGGGGCAGGGTAGGAGGGTGTTTCATGTATATAATATATATAATATATAATCTATAACTTTTATTTTTAATTTTGAGAAAAACAACAAGAACCCAACAACATAAGAACACCCCTCCCCAAACAATAACCAAACAGCTGGTGGTGTCTCCCTACACCGGAAACAAAACCCCAAAGGAATGTCAAAGCCACAACTGTTGGAGGTGCTTGCAGATGTTTCGGGGCAGGTGACCGAGGATGCTTTCAGCGAGCCGAGCCAGCAGTGCCTGGTCCTGAAACACACAAATTCCATTCGATTCAGTGATCATTGATTACAGTTCCTCTGGTGCCAAGCCCACACAAAGAAAAGTCCCTGTCCCCAACCAAGGAGCTTCCGTTGCATAAGGAGAGAGGGCATGTATGAAGATAAGGGAATACAACGTATTCCGAAAGTAAGTGTCCTGTAGAAAAGCGCAGAGAAATTCATTTAGAGCCTTCTCAGCTAACCCACGGGGACCACCCTGACTACAGGAGTGGGGAACCTGTGGCCTCGAGGCCACATGTGGCCCTCTAGGTCCTCAAGTGCGGCCCTTTGACTGAGTCCAAGTTTTACAGAGCAAATCCTTTTATGAAGGGGGGTTTGTTCCGTGAAGCTGGGATTCAGTCAAAGGGCTGCAGCTTCCCCACCCCTGCATCACACCATGTGAGTCATAGACTTAGAGATATAAGGGATCCTCTTATCTGACAGACTGAAGAAACTGAGGCTTAGGAGATTTCATAGGATCACAGCTCCGTACCTGGAAGGGACCTCAGAGGACATTTAGTCCATTTAGTCCACTCTCCTCATTTTACAGAAGAGGGTAAGTAAGCACCAGAGGCAGGATTTGAACCCAGGTTCTTTGACTCTAATCCCATTTCTCTTTCCATGGCGCCATAAGGGTTTACAAAACACTTTTCTCATAGCCCCCTTCTTTGCAGATGATGAAGCCAAGTCATGAGCCCAAGGTCACCAAAGGTCACCCAGCTACTGGGAAATCCAGGAGTCAGGGCCTCTCCCGTGACCAAGACGGACCTTCTGTGAATGGACAACATTGGATGCTTTTCATCCGCCCAGGCCCTGCTGATAGAGGGCTCTGGGACTCCTGGACATGTTGGTCTGAACCCTCGGGTGCTGCAAAGAAGTCAGGGCAATAAAGTTTTGCTGGGTCTACACATCACTGCAGCAGAGAGTTCAGGTACGGGCTTGCTCACTCCCCAGTTGTGTGACCCTAGTTAAGTCATTTAACCTTTTTTGGACATCAGTTTCTTTCTGTACAAAACGAGGGCATTGGGACTAGATGACCCTGTAGGATCCTTCCATTTCCAAAGGGACGATCCCTTCATCCTGCGATCTGTAAAACAGATGAGAGTTCTCCCACAACCCACCTCACAACTGGGAAACCAGAAGCAGGAGTGTCTGGAGGGGCAGAACAAAGCACCCCTTCAGGCCTTTGGACACCTCGGGGTGACCGGGCAGAGAATCTGGGACTCCACTCAGGTGGAGAGCTCTTTCAGCCTAGGCAGACCTCACCCCATCTGTGACTTCAGTCACTAGTCTGAGAGTTGCCTGGGAGTTCAGAGAGGTTCATCGGTCACCCAAGATCACACAGCTAGGAATGGTCAGAGGTAGGACTGAACCAAACCTTCCAGCCACAGTGCCTCCCTCGTTACCTGGCAGTTCTCATAAAAAACAAACAAAATGTCAGTTCCTTGAGGTCAAGGACTGTTTTGCCTTTAAAAAATATTTTTTTTCCCAATGAAGACCTAGGCTCACAAAGAAGGATGGACCAAAGATATAGAGCTGAAAGGGACCTTAGAGGCTCTCTAGTTCAACCCTCTCATTTCACAGATGAGGAAACTGAGGGTCACA